CCTACATGAACCACCCTCCCCCGGGACCTCCCCCTCCGCAGCACGGGGGCCCGCCTGTCAATGTCAGTGCTCCCCCTCCCCATCACTATAACCCCAACTCTTTGCCGCAGTTCAGCGAAGATCAAGGAACTCTCAGTCCCCCTTTCACACAGCCTGGGGGAATGAGTCCGGGGATATGGCCAGCTCCGAGGGGGCCGCCTCCGCCTCCGAGGATGCAAGGGCCTCCCGCTCAGGCCCCCCTTCCTGGACCACATCACCCTGATCAAGCCAGATACAGACCCTATTACCAGTGATACAAGCAACTGTATGAATAGAGAATGCCATGAAGAGGATAAAACTAAATACAGAAGCCTTTTAATTAATTGTTTTGGGGTTATTTTGTTGTGGTTTTTTTAAGAATACTGTCATTTTGACTGTAAGACATTTTGAGGTTTGAATCTTAAATGATTTTTAAGCCTTGGCCGTAGGACTCTTAACTTCAAATACTCTGTAGTGCTAAAATAAGTGGCTTAGTAGACCACAGTTGCATTTTAACAGAACTCCTGTTGCTAGTGTGGCTAAATTGTCCTAAGATGATCACTTGTAATATTATTTCCTGGAGAAGATGAACACGTGTTGTACCATTCTGAATATTGTTTTTGTTAAACCCAGTGTTTTTGTTAACCTGTGTACAAAAATTAAATTGAAATATGGTTGTAAATGTGGTGAGTTTTTATATGAAATTAACATACACATAGTTCTGGGACACCATTTCAACACATATACCTTCCAAGAAGCAGTGTAGTGAAATATTAAAGGAACTTTAATATTTCTCCTGCTGCCATTTACCTTTACTCATGAGGATTTCAGGCTGTAATGAATTCTTGGCACTAGAAATCAGACATGCAGAATTCTGCATTTACCACATTTCAGCTTTTCCACTTTTTTCTTTATGCATCAAAATGAATCTATCAAAGATAGAGCTTTGGGCATGACATGAAACCATGTTTTGTGGGTTTTTTTGTTTGAGTTTTTGGAGTTTGTTTTAAAGCTAGTTTTGATTCAGAAGGTTCTGTTTACATGTAAGCTGCTCAGGGGAGCTGAATTCAAACTCCTGTGTTTACCTATGGCTGTGTTTGTGTGGAAGTGGCTGTGAACTGGCTTGCCATGTCCATGAAAAGCAGCTTCTCTTAGGCAGGGAAGTCACACTTGCCTCTCTCACTTTATATAATGTGTACAGTAGGAGAACTTCCCATTTGGATAATATGAGAAAAGTGGTCTGAAATCCCATGTGTAGAAATAAAAAGGTACACATTATTTATCTGCTTTCATTTTGTGATATGGGTTTAGTTGATCAGTCAGACATTAGGTGTTTTGCTTTTCTCAAAAACTAGCAATATGAGCAGGCTTTTAGTTCTGTTTTTGTCCAAAATTTTTGTTTTATGGGAATACATTTAAAGAGAAGCATAATATAAAATGAGAAAGTTCCTTCTTAGTGCAGAAGCAGACACTAACAAGACAGTACTGTCTGTTGGTTGGAGTGTTTATCTTTCCATTTCTTATAAGTATTTGCACTGAACCATTGTTTTTCCAAATGCCACATTTCTGGCAGTGGTGCTTTTAGATTAAGTCCTTTGGGATTTTTTTAAAGTTTGTAGTTTCCTACTGTTCTCAAATAATCTGAGCCATCTTAAAGCCTCAGTGTTGCTTTTTATTTTGTAAAAATTCTTTTCCAGAATCACAAGGGTTAAATTTATGGAAGAGCTGTGACAGTGCAACATTCCAAATTTTGTATTTTTATGTCTAAACTTCATATTTTTAATTGATAGAGCAAGGGCTCTTTAGATTTATTCTGTTCTTGACTGCCATTGATATGCTTGTGACCACGGCCAAATCTTTTAGTCTGCCTTTCAAGTAAAAACTTCTTTAGGGACAGGAGCAAATAAATTCTGGGGTATGCAAATGGCCAGTAAGTGTCAACTGCTTGAAAATCTGCTTAGCTGTAACATACTTCTTTCTAAGAGAGAGTTATTTGGTTTGGTTGCTCTGAAAACTAAGTAATTTTAAATAAAATACCGTGGTGAAGCAAAAGAGGCTGATTGTGATAGTGTGCTGTGAAATGGGCTGGTTGAAAATTTACTGTTTCTATGCATATGAAGGCAAAAATGACTCTGCCAGCATTCTTTTCTTTCAGTAACTAAGAAACACATGAGGAATTTTGAGGACCCCTTCTGTCACTGTGAAGTTGCCTGGGAGGAAGCACTTTTGAGTTACAGCATGTGACTTCATCTGAGGAAAGCTGCGTGTCTGATCCTCGTCCTCTGGCTCTGCCCAGCCGAGCTGAGGCCCAGCAGCACAGCTGTGTCCCAGGGGCTCAGGGCTCCCACAGCACAGGGAGGGCTGTGCTCCCCTTCAGCCCTGCTTGGGGTTGGGAAAATCACATCTGGAGTGACCACTGCCCACCGCCACAGGGGCTGAGGAGAGGAGGCCGCTCTTCCCACCTGGGCTTTGGAGTAAGTCAGGTTGCAAGTTCTGTTACGTGTTCACCCATCTCTTAAACCACACGAAGAGTTAAAGATATTTCTGTGTCCAAAGCTATTCCTGAAGTGACTGTTTTAAGTGTTTTCCTGAAAATGCTGAGGCAAATTGATTAAGGGAAAACAGCAGTTTTTGCTCTATCAAGAAGCACAGAAGATGAATGTATCTCTATCATTGTCACTTAGACAGTGGGTGAGAATTTTTTTCCTCTGTATTTGAAACACAGGTGACATATGTCATAGGGACAATGATGTATTACCCAAAAAGTCAATGGGATCCCTTGAGCTGGTTAATGGCCATGGACCAAAAGTCTGTGTTTGAGAACTTAGCTGAAAGGTCATCCAATGTAGGCAGGTCTTGGACTTGAGTCAAATTTCTATCTCGTCTCGTAAGAGGAAGACTTAAATATATTTTTTCAATTATTAAATCTGGATATAAATCTATTACCTAGGTAACTAAGGGCACTGTTGATGTTTCCATGTTTACAAAGTTTAAAAATGCTTCCTCTGCTTGAACCCCTATGTTAACTGTCTTTTCAATTCGTTTATGGGTTTTGTGTATATATGATTTAAGGTGTTTTTTTTCCCTTGATTTGTTGGTTGGGTTGGTTTTTTTTATAAATACCTGGTCATTTTACTGAGAGGTTACAAAATTCATGTGTTGTATTTAATTGTGTAATTGACAGAGTTAGAAATGGTGAGATGTTCTTTCTTTGGATTCCTTCTTACTGTAAAGGCAAATATTTGACTTTAATTAATTATGTTTATTTTGAATAAATCTCCTTGTCTGTGGCAGTGATCTCCTTCCCGAAGCATTGCCAAGCAGATCTCAGGTTTTAAAGAGAACTCTTGGCATTTAAATTTGTCAGCCACTGCATGTTCCTCTAACAATGTAACATAAGCAATGAAAAAGAGTTTGAGGTGGTTTGTGTTCACCATGGAAAGAATGAAAGGACACCAGCAGATGGCCTGAAAACACCTGTGCTTTAGATTCTTGTCTCCTTACACTTTCTCCTTGATCCTATCTCTAACTTTGCTTAAAGAGCTGCCTGCAGCCATGCATACTTTATAACCAGGGGACATTGTGTGAACTGTACTTTCTGTTTGTGGTGGGTTTTTTTAATACTGTTAACTTAAAGATTGGTTGCCTACATGTGATAAGTCATATTTTTCTTCCAAAAAGAAGAATTAAAACTGTGAATTATTTTTTTAAATCTGATCCAAGAGAATTATGTGGATCAAGTCTCAACACACCCCTCTCTTCTTAAACTGTTTTCTGCTCCATAAAACTTGTGTCTGAATTTGAGTTGTTTCTCTCTGTGTGCATGGCTGGGCTGCTGACAAAAGCGGGCCCAGGTTCACAGCAGAAGGTCCTGTCAAACGTGGGGAGCTGGAGGAGCACTGTGCATTGGAGCTGCAGTGGAATATTCAATGTATGGGAAATAAGTGAACTTGTTGTGTGTATGACACAGAGTCCAGTACAGCAGAGAAATGTGCAAGGTTTGGATTAATTTTCATCCTGATTACATTTCTAAAGTAAATATCAGTATTATACAAGTTGTATTTCCCTTTGTATTTATGGTGTTAAAACAATTCTTAGCAATTCATAAATCATCTTGATACAGTAATTGTCCCTTCACAGTTTTGAGCTTTTGCTCTGTGTTCAGATGTGTTATACTCACGCTAGTGATTCACACTGACCAGTTTGCAGGCTGAACTGGCTGAATTTGTTTGGGCAATGTGAATGAAAATAATTATGTTTAAATCCCCTTTTAGTCTTGACTTAGCCATGAGACAGCAACTTTAGAAACTTTCCCTACTCTAAATGGGATCTCTTTATTCTCTTGAGTATGAGGCATTAATTTGTTGGTGTTTTTTCTTCTTTTTTAAAATTTATTTTCAGTGTAGACTCAGTTCATGAGTGCAAGAGATTAAAGTATTAAAAATGCAGCATACATCCAGAAATGTGTGGGTGGGATAGCAGCAGGAAGCTGGTAAATTAGCTCAGTCATGATGAAACTTTAGCAAGCGATTTTGATAATGGAATTGCAGTGATTCCTGAGTGCCAGTAAGGCTCATTGTAACACACTTCTGGTAATGGGAAGAGTGCTGATGTCTGTGGGCAGGCAGGAATGTTTCACAAAAGAACTTCAGCATAACTGCTTAGGGAAAAAACCCCAAATGAGTAACTAAATAGAAGTAAGTATGTGTCAGTCATCAAGGGTTTTCTTCAGTTTTGTTTGTGAAAGTCAATGCTTGAACACACCTCCAAGATAATTTATGGTGAATTATTTCCTCCAGTAAATAAAATCACCTAAGTGCTGATGATTGTTGCTCAAGTTGTCCATTGCCATTTCTGGGCCAGGTAAACTTCCAGGCATCTTCTTAGGAAGCAGAAGGGAGCAATGCATACAGACTGAGAAAACAAATTCTCCACATTCAGCACAGGGATGAGGAGTAGGGAAATGTGAGTAGCATTTCAGTAAAGAGGTGCTTAAGGATACTTCTTTCATAATAGGAACTTAGTTTGAAAGGTTTGCTTGTTATAATCCACTCTCTGTTGGCCTAAGACCTTGAATAAACACTTCTAATTTTTGTTTCCATATTTCACATTGCACCACAAAGTGATAATCAGGATTGAGAGTAGTCTTGAGCATCACTGGCTCTCTGGCTTCTCCATTTTCCATCCCTCTTGCAGGCTATAAAATTGTTATTTAGTTACGAAGTCTCTGTACTGTGCTGAAAAGAGATAGGCTTAGAATATGTGATGAGAAATTATAAACCTGTCAGCTCTCCAAAAAGCAGGTATGGAATTTGCCTTTTTGCTTAATTCCTGAGTCAATTACTAAAATGCAGTATATGGTAGTATTCTAACTGAGCAGCAACAGCACCCGGTGCAGGATGTTTAGAAACCTCAATAGTCAGGTTTCTGAAAGTCCCTGTCTCAAAAATGAAGCAGTAAATCTCCATCAGCACAGTATCCCACAAGGTGTTATCATCTGCATGAGAGTGAACTGCCCAGAAAAACACTGGTATTGGAATAACAGAAAGTTAAAGAAATAACCAGTACCTGGAGGGAATCTCGCATAAAGTATCAGAAGTACAATTGCTGCTGGTATCAACATTGAAAAAGAAGAAGTAGGGTGATTGAAGAACATGGCAAGTAGCTGGTAGGGATGGGTGGCATGGGAGTGCAAAGCTCTCTGGCCAAGGCTGTCTATGTACCGTGTCCATTTAAGAGAAGGTGAATAGTTTTGGAAGGGGGATTTATCTTCTGTGGCACTGTGCTGTGTCAGAAAAGTCATTAGTATAGAAATTAATTGTTCTGAGATGTGCAACGTAGAAAATAATCTTTTTTATTAACCTGAAGCCTGTAATTAAATCCCAAATGGTTTTGAAGTGCAGTATGTGGTATTCCACCAGATACTGCACTTCATATATTGCTTTTGATAGGGATGTTTGCCTGGGTCTGTGTAGGTGCATGTGGACACAGGACTGAAAAGAGCAGCTGGAGTCTGACAGTTCAGATTACACTGGTAGGATGTATCATGATTTTCATGAACATGTTTACATCTCATCCTAAAAGCAGTTTAGTTTTTTGCTCCTCTTGTTCCAGCTGGAAAGGATTTCACCATTGTAAAAATGAGGAACCATCTTCTAATATCTTGTTCATGTTGAAGTTTGGCCGGTTGGTTTTTTTTCCCCGTACAGGACAATGATCTTGCATAACTTTTCTTCTGTCCTAGGTTAAATCCCTGTATCTATTTTGCTTTTTGCCAGTCCTTAGATACAGGCTCTTCATTTTACAAAGATCCTCATAACAATTTTCTTCATTTACATTTGATTTCATCTTTCTTGAAGAGGAGATCTCAGTCCTGAAGTTCAGACTATTTAGAGTGAAATTTCCTCTGTGCGTTGAACAGTATCACAGAATCACAGAATGTCCTGGGTTGGAAGGAATCACCAGGATCATCAAGTCCAGCTCCTGGCCCTGCACCGCACCATCCCTGCATGTCACCCCATGTGCCCAAGAGCACTGTCCAAACACTTCCTGAGCTCTGTCAGGCTGGTGCTGTGACCACTGCCCTGAGGAGCCTGTTCCAGTGCCCAAAGAACTTCTGGGGAAGAGCCTTTGTCTAATATCCAATCTAAACCTCCTCCAGCACAACTTCAGGCTGTTCCCTCAGTGTCACTGTCACCACAGAGCAGAGATCAGGGTCTGCCCCTCCTCTTCCCCTCATGAGGGAGTTGTAACTGCAGTGAGGTCTCCCCTCAGTCTCCTCCAGGCGGGACAGTCCCAGTGACCTCAGCCACTCCTCATGTGGCTTCTCCTCAAGATCCATCACCATCTTCACTGCCCTCCTTTGGACACTCTCTGATAGTTTAATGTCTTTTTTATATTGTGGTGACCAAATAACTTTGTTGTTCTGGAAAGATCTATTGTGTTTCACTCTATGTTTTTTGGAAGGCTGCATTGGAAGGGCACTTTGGCAGTGTGCTAATTGCACCTGTCTTCAGGCACTGCTGTGCTGAGTATCTGGCACACAAGTACTTGACAGTGGATCTGCCATAGCACAATCAGCAGAGCAGTGCTTGGTGTGAGCAGCTGCTCACCTTCCCCATGGTGTCTGCAGGAAGCAGCATCTCTTGATGCCACCCAGGGCCACGTCTCCCACACCAGGGCAGGCACATGATCACCCACCACAGAAGCACAGCTTGTTATCCATCTGCAAATGCATTAGTGTTTCCTGAAAGCTGAACTTGTCCACTTCTGTCTTCAAGCTCTCTTAATTCTTTCTATATTCAACATCTCTTCAATTTTAATACTGACTCCCAGCTTGGTTCTCATCAGATAACTCCAGATTAAAAAAAACAATTAAAAAAAAGATTAAAATATTTAACAGATTTTGTTTTTAACATCTGTATACTCTGAAGATAAAAACTGTAGTGCAGAACACTTTCCCATCAGCCCTTGTTCAAGTCCAAATGCACATTTTTGGCCACCCAACTTGACTGAAAGCCAAAACTAGGCTTTGAAAACTAAAAACTCTTGTGATTTCAGAGTGCTGTTTCTTTCAGACTCCAGAAATGGTTCCATTTCCCTCTAGGCTGAAGATTTTTCTACCTCTAGCACTTGCTATAAGAAATTAAAAGTTCTGTCACTGTGGGCATTGGGTGTTCTCCTCTGAAAGTTGTGATGTAGCTCATCTTCAATCTTTAGACTTGCAGCAGGGGTTAATTGGCAGCAGTTGTGCAGAGTATCAGAGTAGACTCTTTGAGCTGAAGCTGTTTGCCCATGTGTCCATAGATCCAGGCAGTTCCTGGATCCTGCCCACCTGGAGCTCCACGCCCACAGCTCCTCCAGCCCCTCCTGGGGCAGTGTCTGTCACAGGCTGGTCTCACTGACTGAGCTACCCTGATGGTGCATGGACAAATGCACACACTGTCACTGAAACCATGTGGGTCACTCTCTGTGTATGTACAATGGTTCACGACAGATGTATCCTCCCTTGTGCACTTTACACAAGCCCAGTCCAAATCAATGAATCTTGTTTTGATCTGAAAATCCTGTGTCTTTCCTGAACAATCTTCATAATTAGATACATTAGTCACTATGTACGCTGTGCTCATGCTTGTGGTAGTAAGCTGAGAGCAAGTTTAACTCAGTCTACTAAATATCTTACAAACCATCAAGAAAACTTTATTCAAGCTATATACATGCTGAAGATAAAATATCAGTCCTAACTGTTATTCTGTGGTATCCAATACAAGATTTCAAATATTTATAGATT